TCAGACATCAAATAGATTGGTCTGATAGTTTCCCACATGGAAACTACTAATGGATCCCATCTGACCACATGTCTCAAACAAACCTGAAAATATCTGCAGAAACTTTCCTCAACAAAAAAATATAATCCAAAACATAAAATATAAGATGTAAGGATAACAATATTTATCCATGAAACCAATTTGGCAAAACAATTTCAATGATGTTGAAGGATTCTCTCTGCAAACATTTTCACGTCCGCTCTCATCGGCATGCTCGACTCATCGATCTGTTAAAGAAGAGTGTGCCATATTCCTATGTAAATAAACTACGATTCACACCTTCTGTTTACAAAGTTCCGTTTTACGATACACTTACGATGATACACAGTGCGTATCTTGCGATCAACTTAGTAGTCCTTTACGATGCCTTTGTGAAACACACGTAACGGGAACGTAGAACCACACGTAAACGGATCGTAAAATGATACGATGATCGTAAGTTAAGAAGGCTTTGTGAAACGGTGGCCAGGAGTCGGTTTCACAAAAAAACTTACAACTAAGATTGATTGTAAGTCATTAGCAATTCAGTATACTTACGATTGATCTTAGTCTTACTAACATACGCTACGCGGGTTATTCAGTGTGCACCACGTTTTTGATGTTATTTCTTCATAGACAGAAAAAATATTACAGTCATTCCTTAAATATTATTATTTCACTGATTGTAGCAACGTTAAACAACACATGGTGTATTATAACTGGTTTAAATGCCAATGAGACAATAACCCAAAGTTCAAATGAAGTGGGATCAGTTTGATTTTAGATTCATGTTAATTTGCACTTGGGTCTTCGGGGATAGGTGTGTTTTTTATTTTTTATTTTTTTTTTATTTGAGTTGAATACGATGTACAGGTAAAACTGGTGAAAAACGCACCTTTTCACAAAGTGGGGCGACAAAACGACTCAGACAATCAGCAATGGTGCCTTTTTGGGGGAGGGGCATATTGTTCATAGGCGTCGGGAAAACCCCGAGAGTATTCGCAGTCTTACATTGTATAAGGAGTTTTTACAAGTATACAAGTATGTATGTAAATTAAAAGGTTGTTATTTTTTGTGTTCATAAATGGAGATGTGGGATATACAATAAAACAGCAACTGGCCAATTAACGACACACAAAACCAAAGAAATCTATATAACACGAGACTATTGCAGGATGGACAAGTATGTTTTTACTGCTAATTTGTAGTTTTAGTAAAGATTCGTTGGTCCCATGAATTGGAAAGTTAATAAGTACATTTAGTATAGCAAGTATTAAATCTATCAAATTATAACATCACATGTTCACAACGATAGTAAAATTTTAACTATAACAGCAACATATTTCAGTTTCCTAGTATATATTTGTTAAAGTCTTTAAACTTCTTGTATTTCAGGAGAAAACTCAAACCATTATGAAATAAGGAGATGTGGTACCATTGCCAATGAGACAACTTTCTTTCAAAGACCAAATGACGTAGACGTTAGCTTGCTTACGTTGCTACATTTGAGATCTCCCAATTACCACTCCACTATGAACTGTTAATTTAAAAAGATATTTTGTCACCAAATGTCTGATAAAATAGACATCATCATATATGCTAATATATATTTTGCTCCCTCGACAAAATAATGGTGGGATTTTGTTTTTCCGGTGTACGTCCCGCACTTTGTACAAATGTATATAGGGTTTATACGGCTGATTTATTAGGAATAATCTTTAAGCTAAAACTTTTAAATTCTGTACCCGGTGTTAGTACATATACTAAAGATGTGCATCTTGTCAGATTTTCTAGAAGGTGCATATATATATTTTCAATATTTATTTTATTATTTTTTTTAATAATTTTCCACGAATGACAGAATGTTGAACTTAATCTTTTTAAGTGAAATTTTGCATAAAGTTTGCAAGGTTTGTCCGACTAACTACGCACACAACTCACACATTTACAACATACAGGGTATACTATATTTAGAATGTGTATTTTATCAGGTTGTTGATTTTCTTCATAATTTTCACAAGTAAGGGAGCTACCATTTGATTTTTATGGGGGGGGGGGGGCTAGGATGAAATTTGAAAAAAATAGGCAGGACAGGAGTTTTGAGTAAAAAAAAAGGCAGGATAAGCAACTTGGTAAAAAAAAAGGCAGGATGAGCAACTTGGTAAAAAAAAGGCAGGATGACAATTTGTGTAAAAAAAAGTCAGGATAAACTAATAAAAAAAAAGGCAGGACCAATTAGAGTAAAAAATAAAAAGACAGGACAGAGATTACAACTAAAAAAAAAGCAGGACAAAATTTTTCATCCTAGCCGCCTTCTTCTGTTACCTATTCTACCATCGGACTAGGACTTCTTTTAAACTGAGTTTCACTGTGCGTTTGGTGTGTGTTTGTTTATTCTTCTTTGGCTAGAGGTATAGGGGGAGGGTTGAGATCTCACAAAACACGTTTAACCCCGCCGCATTTTTTGGCCTGTCCCAAGTCAGGAACCTCTGGCCTTTGTTAATCTTGTATGTTTTTATTACTTTGGTTCATTTATGTTTCGGAGTTTAGTGTGACGTCCATTTTCTCTGAACCAGTATACATTTTTGTTTAGGGGTCAGCTAAAGCCCGCCTCCTGGTGCGGGATTTTCTAGCTGTGTTGAAGACCCATTGGTGGCCTTGAGCTGTTTTCTGTTCTTTGGTCGAGTTGTTGTCTCTTTGGCACATTCCCCGTTTCCATTCTCTATTTTATTCTATACATGCATGGATTCAGTATACAATTATGGATATTATAATAGTTTTGAGTCTTTCTCCGTATATAAGAATATAGCCATCCATTGAAAAATCTAAAAAAAAAAAAGAGTTGAAAAAACGGCATTTTCCTCATATATCTATGTAAATTTGTCGACAAAAGTTACAAAAAAAAAACAAAAATGGTGATCACTATTTTTCATTTCATATTCCGATGCAACTCTAATCAAAGTACAAGCGTGCCAAAAATTGAAATGAAACCGGGAGATATACCATTTGGTATCGTGTTACATTAAGCAAAGTTTTACAAAAGATGATTTATGCAAAATGCAACTAGTAAAGATTAACACAGATTTATATATTCTTACTGCCTGTAGTAAAGGTGAATATGCATGACATATTCTTACTGCCTGTAGTAAAGTTTAATATGCATGACATATTCTTACTGCTTGTAGTAAAGGTTTATATGCATGACATATTCTTACTGCCTGTAGTCAAGGTTAATATGCATGACATATTCTTACTGCCTGTAGTCAAGGTTAATATGCATGACATATTCTTACTGCCTGTAGACAAGTTTAATATGCATGACATATTCGAACTGCCTGTAGTAAAGGTTAATATGCATGACATATTCTTACTGCTTGTAGTAAAGGTTTATATGCATGACATATTCTTACTGCTTGTAGTAAATGTTAATATGCATGACATATTCTTACTGCCTGTAGTAAAGGTTAATATTCATAACATATTCTTACTGCCTGTAGTAAAGGTTAATATGCATGACATATTCTTACTGCCTGTAGTAAAGGTTAATATTCATAACATATTCTTACTGCCTGTAGTAAAGGTTAATATGCATCACATTTTCTTACTGCCTGTAGTCAAGGTTAATATGCATGATACATTCGTACTGCCTGTAGTAAAGGTTAATATGCATGACATATTCTTACTGCCTGTAGTAAAGGTTAATATGCATGACATATTCTTACTGCCTGTAGTAAAGTTTAATATGCATGACATATTCTTACTGCTTGTAGTAAAGTTTAATAGGCATGACATATTCTTACTGCTTGTAGTAAAGTTTAATAGGCATGACATATTCTTACTGCTTGTAGTAAAGTTTAATATGCATGACATATTCGTACTGCCTGTAGTCAAGGTTAATATGCATGACATATTGTTACTGCCTGTAGTAAAGTTTAATAGGCATGATATACTCGTACTGCTTGTAGTAAAGTTTCACAAGTCATGATATATTCGTACTGTTTGTAGTAAAGTTTAATATGCACCGTCTATGAAAACGGCATGTAGTTACAAGCACATGGTATATTCATACTGTTTGAAGTAAAGTTTAACAATCATAGTATATTCTTACTACTAGCAGTATAGTTTGAAGCGGGCTGTTTATGCAAACTGCTTGAATTTCAGTTTTAAGTGCGTGGTTTATGCACACTACTTTTATTAACGTTGAACAAAACATGGTATATTCCAACTGTTTGTAGTAAAGTTTCAGAACACGTGGTTTTTGAATACTGCTTGATGATATTGTCTTACTGCTTATAGTAAAGTTTCACTACGCATTGTATATTCTCACTGCTTGTATTAAAATTTCACTATTTCAATACAAAATTAACTTTAATTGTTCGGAGGTTTGCAACTCCATATATACGCATTGGTAATAAAGTGAAACATGGAAATATATGTTCATAAAACAAATCAAAGAAAGAAAGTGGAACATATGAAACATTCCGTTATCGACAAAGGTTTGAAGGCTAGGAAATAAAATGGAAATCTTCTATCAATGTAATGAATTGCACAGAAATACTTTATGAATTAAACAATTCGATTATTCTTTCCTGAAATATTGTTATTTTCTATTCATGCGTTATTTTCCTTTTGTACTGGCCTTCAATCAATATTACAAAACAGATATAAAAAAAAAAAAAACGCACTCCAAGAAAAATTCAAAACGGAAATCCCCTCTCAAATGGCAAAATCAAAGGCTCAAACACATCAAACGGTTGTTTCCATTGTACTACTCTGATACCAAATCTAATGTTGTAAAGAAGTAACATATAGATTAAAACTTTAAAATGAACATTGATAACTCCTTGTGTGTAAACAAACAATTTTTGAAGTATCGTCACACTGGTATCCTGATTTTGTTTTTTACAAGTTCATTATACCTATGATTCATATGTTTTTGTAGTCATATAGTTCCGACAAGGAAATCGGTATTCTCATCTCAATATAAAACGTTCATTACTCCAGTTTTGATATTAGACCTCTAAGTTGCATACATATATGTTGTTCATTAAGGAAGATTTCCGAAGAATTACTATGTCAATACTGAGTTTAACAGCACTGATTGGTTTGTTTGTTGGTATTACTTATGGATTGAGTGACAGAATGATTTATGACACCTCTGCACAGGTATGTTTTCAATGGCATCATATTGCATATCATGGAATGTAAGCTGAAAAAATTCCAAATATCTACATATTTTTTAAATAAATCTATTTTCAATCGATGATAAAATTGTAAAAAATAACGATAGGTGATTGCGTCTCTTGTGGTGCTTTATCTGTTTTTGATAAGATTTCTACGGGAAAGTTATTACTGATTATATCGTATGAACGTTAAATTCTACGTTAAAAATATGTTTATGGTTAACTTGCCTTGTTCGTCAGTCTTGCATTTTGACATTTTAATTACATTTTTACTCTTTTCATTTTGTCGATATATTCCTATGTTAATTTTATTAAAAGAAAGGGAATTAAATCATAAAAAGCAAGGCCAAAACAGGTTCTTTATAAGCTTCGATTGTGCTCAATCCCTATTTTATGACAGTTTGTGTTAAAGCTATATTTTAGCAGTATTGGGTTTCATGATTCAGTTTAGCACCTACAGTGTCAAAGATTGTTTATGCAGCCATCGTGTTTAAATTTCCTGTTATCATGGTTATAGATATCCAAAAATCTATTACTCCCCAATAAGTATGTCCTATTCGTGCATACCTTTTATTTTTTATCCGATCTTTATGTTTTGGTATTGATTTGTTATATCAGCTTTCCAAATTCAAATCAATTTTAGATTTTCATATGTGTATTTACCTAGCTAGAGCGACACGTAAAATGTTTATCTGGTGCTGTCATATTTGAACCGTTAATGTTATCAGCACCAAACGTGTCTAAGATTTAGTTAAGCACACATCCTGTTAAAGCTTGATTTTAACATTTATTGTGTTAAAAGATTCATTTGGAAATCTGTAACTCACTATATTGCTCAAGCAACTTATTTTCCAGACATTCCCGAGAGAAAACAAATTATTCGAATATCAAAAATATGAGCTTTTTCTAATTAGAAATTCATCCACAAAGTAAGTAAATCGCAGAAATAAATTTAAAAATATTGATATAATTTTGAAATTTGCAATTTATACTTTTACTGTTTAAACGAATTTTCTTTTAAGGCCAAGTGTAAAGAGATCACAAGAAGTCCCACGAGAGACTGCAGATGGTCTGCAGGGATGAATATGCAGGTGGATCAGGTCGCAGCTGGAGGAAAGATTGCTGCATACAAAATTCGATGGTTTAGTGGTTCCTGGAGTGGCTGGTACGTGCCCGGGTACAACGACATGGACTGGAAAATCAACACTAACAACAAAAGATGTTCAATGCCGTGCAAAGCCAACAGTCTTAGACGGGTGTGGTCATATTTCGAGGACCACACACACAAATTTATAGTGTGCAAGGCTTAGAAATTCTGGACAAAAGATCCATTTAAACATAAATCAAAGCTCTAATATTTAGTTTTTGTTATTCATTTACATAAACGGTCGTGCTTCTTGTCATATCTATATTCTGTCTGTAGACAGCTCATCTTTTCCCACACAAATCTAAGCTCAACTAATGTAACAATGCGTTTAAGAAATAAATAAAAAACGTTTACAATTGTCCCAGTGTATCGTTCCTGTAACTCACTTGATAGCAGAAAAATAATTCTGTAATAGGACAAGACAGAGTACCTCTTAAACTCTGTGTGCAAATAATCAACCGTGGTTTGGTGAAAAATGACAATCTCTACCTGGGGTGTAGGATCAATATGAAGGTTTGGCCTATAAATACTGAAATGTTAATGAAGAATTCCAAAGTGTCATTTATGATATCACTGACTGTGACTTTGAATCACGTAGTTCCCTAATTGGATATTAAGATATAGAGATTTAACGATGAGACAACTACTACCAGTAGTACTAGTTCTGTAACCAGAGTTCATTTTTTAAAATTTTAATGTACGGAAGAACACACACCTATATTGCATATCGATGGAAAGAGGAAAACGTGTACAATAAGAAAAGTTTGGTCGTAAAAACCCCGAGTGGTCACATTTTTGCGAAATTGAGCTCAAAGGTCAAACCTCAAATATATCACAAATTCAAACATGAAGAAAAAAGAAAGTATTTTCTGAGATATATTCAGTAGAATGTTACAAAAATGATGTTCTAACAATTATATATTTCAAAGGACGACAAAACGATTAGTTTAGCTATTTGAATGAACAGCTTCCATTACAAAATGGCGTCAATGATGAATCTTCTGATTGTTTTCCATTTATGACAAAGAAAATGTAGATGTGGCCTTGAACTTTTCACATCCATTAACTTTTACATTGCCGTTCATTTTTCACCGCAGCATATAACAGAATTATTTTCTAAATTGTAAAACAGCAGTTTCTCGATATTTTTCAGTTATTGTTCTTCATTTAAAAAAAACAAAATTTAATCACTGAAACCGTGTTTTTCTATTTTGCATACACAGGATGTGTATTTTTGGATACCATGTACTTAAAAGTCGAAAGATCAGATATAAATATTGTCAACCGAGGCGAAAGCGAGGTTTAAAAAAAGTCATAAGTGTAACTTGCTATGTTGGTTCAGTGTGAAAAAAAAAAATTAGTTTTATGCCATGAACATTCTCTTTGTGGGATTATCCTGGTACAAATGTGTAATCTCATTATTTTTTTAGCAAAGTTATTGATTATAATGTTAATTTGCTAATGTTGTAATTTGACAATCGGGTAAGACCCTTATATAGCTAGTCTTTGAAGGGCTACAATCATTAGCTCCGGTCTTCATCAAATAGGGGTAAACAGTGAAAAATGCTTCACACTGGGAAATTATATACAATAATCTTAGTTACACGTCAATCTCTTCGTCATTGTTTGCGAATCCGGTAAGCGAATTAACACGCTTCACCGCCTTTGCAAGGGCACAGTTCTGTTCAGGACAGATTTACAGGTTCACAGTATATCTTGCAAGTAATCCGAAGACATTGCAGGGAGGAATCTACGACCATATTTATTTATTGCTGGTTATTTTCCCTGTTTGAAAAAAATCATCATAGATTTAAATTTTGTACGTCAGACGCGCGTTTTGTTAACAAAAGACTCATCAATGATGCTCGAATAAAAAAAGGTTAAAAGGGCATAATAAAGAACAAAGTTGAATAGCATTGAGGACCCAAAATTCTGATAAGTTTTCCCAAATATAGCTAAGGTAATCTATGAGTTTTCCCAAATAGTAATCTATGAAACTACAGTTCCTGACTGTTTTTCATTGACGGGAATTCGAAGAAACGCACACAAAGAATGGAACATCTGTAACTTCAGACTTTTTTCCTATTCGACCCTTCTTATTTTTCCTTCCAATCTCTCTGTCACCAAACATAACATGCAGGATCATTTAGTATTTGCCTATTTTTGTGTCCTGACTTAATCCTGAAAGTCAGTTACCTATGCTGAGGAGAACTTGTTCACAACAATCGGGTCAACAAAATTACCCTCTAGAAAGAGTTTATGCTCATGCGAAGTCAACCCAGGGATCTGGGCATGCTGACACTATAAAAGTAATTTCCAGTATGGTTTGGATCGACCATGCATTAGCTGAATTACATTTTGGCTAAAACTTACACTAGTTCGTTGGTCTCTTTTGACCGATTTTCTAGTAATAGAAAGTTTGATGTCGTATCTATCAAAGACAACAACAACTGTAACACCATTGGTAATGCATCATATCTGATTTTGAATGAAATGTAGAGCCAGGTACCCGAACTTAATATCTAATAAAATAATTGATATCTCAACTTTTAACAATTGTACTAAGGCCATTTCGTTTCTAATAAGTACGGTAATGGATCGACCGTACGGTGCCTACTGAAGTGAGATACAGCTTCTGCTTCTATTTTATGACAAAGATCGGCCTTACATGTTTCAGCATGGTACAGTTCTCCCGGAAAAGAGAGGTAGGAATAGATCTGATTGAGAGTGATAGAACATTTACTATTGTAATGTCTTCACGACACCAAGCAGTAATTAGAGCACGACGTATTACTTGTTCTGGATTAATATGTACATTTAGTATCTCTCCTGACCTGCACTTGAATTTATACTTTTTCGTTAAGTCTTCGAAGGTTTTGATTTTTCATCTAGGTATTTGGCCATAGAAGTCACAGTTATCACCTTCTCCCAACGCACCATTGATAAACGATTTGACAATTTGTATACCATCATTAAATGCTTTTGTCATTGAGGATTCAATTTCCATAGACGCGTGCATTCCAGTTGAGATGTCGATCAGTGACTTGAGATGAGACTTTATATCAAAAGGATTTGTCAGTCGCTGGTGAACATGGTCTATAATAAGTTTGACATACTCTTCATCTGGTCGTAAGGCAGTCGGTCTAGTTTCATCATGAGAGGATTTTTCTGGGGCAGTAAATTGAGTTTACATCTCATTTCTGCATTAAACTCTGCGAGCATCGATAATATTTTTCCCGACCGCTCGCATTCATACTATTTGGTCTTGTGGCGAACTTTGACACACAATGCATTTTTCCAACTCAATCTCATTCGTTCTCCTTTTGGCATAGTAGGGTAAACTTTACAGGAATATCAAAACTGGCCATTATCCGGAACAAATCTTTTCCAACGGGTTCAGTTTACTATTATAGAGTCAAAATGTAAGCAACAAAATATAACTTATTTACAGAAAAAGAACAACAATATGTGATCAAAGCACACTTAAAAAACTCAAAAATATCTAATGATCCACAGATTATGTACAGAATCACATCAAAACTATCAAATTTGTTGTTGAAAAAAAAACGTTCTTATAATTGAACTTGATGAAAGATATCTACTTTCACGGCACTTGACTTTACTGGTTGGTAAATTGCACGTCGCAGCTGCATTTTAACTATTTTTTTATATTTGTGTACTCTTGACTTTAAATTCAAATACAACTAACTTCTTATACAATCCTAATCAATCATAAATGTTACTTTACATGTTAATTTATTTTAACTTTTTTAGCTGAAAGAACTTTTTTTAAATTAAAAGTACATACATGTAGTTTTCCGGGGTGGATGCCATAT